ACGGTCTCAAGCAAGCCTCGCGTGTTTGGAACGAGACCTTCGACGAGTTCATACGCTCGATTGGTTTTCAAGCGTCGGGATTCGATCCATGTCTCTACATCATGACTTCGGAAGGCCATTGTGTTTTTGTGCTGGTCTACGTGGACGATGTCTTGGTGACTGGAAGCTCGCTCGAGATGATTGCGCGCACCAAGAACGACCTCAAGACACGCTTCGAGATGACGGACAGCGGCAAGTGTGCCTTTGTTCTTGGGATCGAGTTATTGGAAGGTGAAGATGGCAGCGTGACTATGTGTCAGCGCCGTTATGTCGACGATGTCCTCAAGCGCTTTGGAATGGATGAGTGCAAGGCTGTGGCAAGTCCGGTGGACGTCAGCTCTCGACTGGTTCCAAGCAACTCTGCAAGCAAGGTGGATGTCCCATTCCGTGAAGCAGTGGGTGCTTTGATGCATCTGACGACTGCAACGCGACCGGACATCGCCTATGCTGTAAGCTTTGTGTCACGGTTCATGGAGAAACCCCAAGAAGAACACTGGGTTGCAGTCAAGCGCATCTTCCGCTACCTACAAGGCACCAAGATGCATGGAATCTGCTACAAGCCAAGTGCGAAGATCGACTTTCGTGGCTATTCAGATGCAGACTGGGCCGGTGACCTTGCTGATCGCAAATCGACGTCCGGCTACGTCTTCATGCTATTGGGTGCTCCGGTGAGTTGGGGCAGCAAGAAACAGCCAAGTGTGTCACTGTCTACAAGCGAAGCGGAGTACATCGCGCTCAGCCTGGCGATCCAAGAAGGCAAGTGGATCAATCGCTTGCTGTGCGAGATCATGGCGGCTGCAAACGAAGAAGGACCCGAGCTCGTCATCCGTGAAGACAACCAGTCGTGCATCAAGATGACGAAGAATCCGGTCAACCACGGCCGCGCTAAACACATCGACATCAAGTACCATCACATCCGTGATGAAGTCAAGCGCGGCGAAGTGAAGCTTGAATACTGCGAGACGACGTTGATGTTGGCGGACATCATGACCAAGGCACTTCACGGACCGCGTCACAAGAACTTGACGGCGGCGCTTGGCATCCGTGCGTGTTCGGATTGAGGGGGCGTATTGAGGGTTACCGGTACAATCCGAACCTAGCGCGTAGTTCTTACGAGATAGTTTTTACATCGGTAATTACCTCAGAGATGATTAGACGCGTAGGATGATTGGACGCGTGCAAATCAGGTTGATTAGATGCACCATGTGATTGGATGCAGTCTAGGGTAGGCAGAAGTTAAGACCTATAAATCAATCACTTTCGAATCCTCCCTCAAGTGAGCAAGTGTTCTCTGCTTCGTTCTCTCCGGTCTCTCCGCTTCGTTTTCTCTTCGCCTCGCGCTCAAGTAACAACATGACTGCCACCGGTACACCGGCCGCCACCGACGCTGCTCGATGAGCATGGTTGTCGTCAGTTTCATGTCGAGAGACTACTGAAACGACGTCGTCGTCATGGGTACTATTAGTACTAGTAAAGTGGCGTGGGTACCCTGAGTCTGAAAACTCATGGGAATATGAGGTACACCTACGACAAGATTGCCCTTATGCTTTGGACGTTATTGAACATCGTGGCCAAGGTCATCTTGAGACAGGGGCCGTTTTCCACCACTAGTGGTGTGGGTTGGCGGGTTGGTGGTCATCGATTGACCAACACTCGCGGCTACCGTAGTAGCCGAAGCATATCGTTTGGGATTACGCAATTGGCCTCTGGCCTTAAGCTTGGCATATTCATACCGAAGCTTGCGCTAGAGACACACATCATCCACATTGGCACTAGATCTTAGAGCAGACGTACTGCTGAGGCGACGTATGCGGTGCACCCAGCGGACGAAGACATTGTCTTCTCCGCTCTCTGTTTCGCCTGCGGACAAGAGAATGAATATACCCTTGATCGGTGGGACCGGTGCACCACGTACTTGCATATCAAGGCGTGCCTTTTATTGACCTTGGGTCGTTAGGTGAGGTTCCAGGTACCTCTCGCAAAGTGCCTGTCTGCTCGCCACCTCCTCAGCAGACTTAGGCCTATGGCCAATGATTCACATTGCCAACGATTGGCCGGCCGCTTGACGTAAGCGTTCCTCCACACTGGATGAAGTGAACACATAGTCACGTTGGTGCTCGAGGGTTGCGACCATATGCGCATGGCGCCGAGTGCTTTCTCCTTGTTAAATAATTATCTGATAATGCTCATCGAGCAAGTTCGTGATAATATTATCATCCGAAGCAAGTGTTGAGCGTGGCGCCAATGGCGACGTCATGTTCAGGAAACGGACAGGAGGCAAGACGATTTGTACCTCAGGCATGGGTGTATCGGAATTTGTCCCTGCATCACCCGGGACACCGGTATCGCTACCATAGTCCAAAACCTCTTCCATTTCGAGGTAATCACTGAGAGTCTTTGACTCGTTACGTTATGAGGACATCGTGCTAAGCTTTGCGTTGCCGTAATGAACCGCTCGTGCACTGACTTCGTGGAAGAACAAAGTTCGATGGGAACGTTCGATTGGAACAAGGTTCGATTGAAATTTTGGAAAACGTCAGTCTGGTAGGGGAGGGTGTAAAGGGGTTACACGTAGTTGGTTATTGGGTACCCTGTGTCTTGGACACACGGATAATGTGTCACCGAAAGAGATCTAGAATATTTTATTGGTTTATAGGGACTGACCGTGTCAGCCACTAGATGGGAGAGATCTTAGTTGAACTAACTTAGGTTTAGATATTCTATAGGTTTTAAGTGTAAATAAAATTCAGTTACCTTTTCATTTTAAAGACACGCGCCTTGCAAGACGTCTAGGGTCGTTGATCGCTGATCACTAAAATTTAGCAACACCTCCCTGAGGTAGCTAATTACTCTTGAGCACTAAATGCTGTCGATTCACTGAATCGTTTGGTCCCCTGGAACAAGGACCGTAAGCTTTACGCTTGTTGAATCACTAAGTCGAGTTCTTTAGAGCTAAGTATCTCGCTGAGCGTTAAGCCTTCCTCTGACTTACGGAGCTGTGTAGCTCCGCTACATCGGCAGAATGCACTTAAGTTCAGAAGCGTAAGACTGTGCGTGTCTACTGAAAAGACGATCCACGTAAATCCATTTTTTTATACTATTAACGTGGCAATATTCGTGGCAAGACCGATACGGCTGCAAACACATTCATCACAAATACTATTGAGGGTTACCGGTACAATCCGAACCTAGCGCGTAGTTCTTACGAGATAGTTTTTACATCGGTAATTACCTCAGAGATGATTAGACGCGTAGGATGATTGGACGCGTGCAAATCAGGTTGATTAGATGCACCATGTGATTGGATGCAGTCTAGGGTAGGCAGAAGTTAAGACCTATAAATCAATCACTTTCGAATCCTCCCTCAAGTGAGCAAGTGTTCTCTGCTTCGTTCTCTCCGGTCTCTCCGCTTCGTTTTCTCTTCGCCTCGCGCTCAAGTTACAACAGGTTATGAGCCCAAGCGCCATGTCGTCCAACAACACCTCGGCCAGTGTCTCCATCGATAAGTTCGATGGGGACAACTACTCAACCTGGTGTCGCTACATGCGCGGCGTGTTTCTGACGAAGTCAGTCTGGTACGTCGTGAACCGCGAAACGTCTCCAACCTTCACCGACACGCGAGCTTCCGACGAGTACGTCAAGGCGAGCAACATCGCGTTCGGGTTGATGTTGCTCCACATGGACGCCGACTACCACCATGTGGTCGACAACTGTGAAGAAGCATGGACAGCGTGGTCGCGGTTGAAGATGCTCTATGGTGGGTCGCAGAAGGCGGGACGCATCTACCTCAAGCGCCAGCTGTTCAGCATCAAGATGGCGGAAGGTGCCAACGTCTTGCACCATTGCAACGAAGTCTTGAACATCGGCGCCAAGCTCAGCAGCATCGGTGCCAAGATGGAAGACGAAGACATTGCGATCTGCTTACTGCGCAGTCTGCCCAATAGTTTCGAGAACGTGGTTCTCAACTTGGAGATGAGCAATGCAGAGCTGCGCACGCAAGATGTGGTCAAGGTGCTGACTAACGAGCACATCAAGCGACAAGGCGAGAAGATGACAACGGCAACGACAACGGTGAAGACTGAAGATGCGACAAAGGCATTCAGTACCGAGCGCAAGCCCTACCAATGCACATACTGCGGCAAGGTGGGGCACACGGCAGAGCGTTGCTGGACGAAGCAAAAGGATGAAAGTCGAGGAGCCCAACGCGGCGGCAATGGTCGTCGACGCGGGGCAAACAATGTCCAGTGGCGACATTATGATGAAGGCAACAGCTACGATCGAGTGGCGTTTGCAGTTTCGTTCGAATGCGGAGTTTCGACGAACAAGAATGGACCAGGAATGTGGGCCGTTGACAGCGAGGCAACACATCACATCTGCCACGACAAGTTCAAGTTTGCAAGCTTGGTCGAAGGCAATGATGGCGAGATCCTGGTGGCTGATGGCAACAAGGCGGCCATCAAAGGTGTGGGGACCATCGTGGAAAAGGTGATTCTGCCAAACGGGGAAGAGCGCGAGATCGAGATCAAGAACGCGCTCTATGTGCCCAGCATGAGCAAAACTCTGCTCTCGGTGCCGCAGATTAACAAGCACGGCAACTTCCAAGTGGTGTTTGACGGGGATACGATGTACGTCGCTCGCAAGGATTCCAATCAAGTGGTGGCAGCTGCGGATCTTGTAGACGGACTCTACTGGCTTCGCACGACGCAGCGATCGGCCAATGCGACATCACTCAGCAACGCTGTTGATCTACATGCGCGAATGGGCCATGCTCCAGTCGACGTGCTTCGCAGGATGGTGACAAGCCACATGATCAAGGACGCTCACATCCCTTCCAAGCCGAATGGATCAAGTGTATGTCGCGGATGTTAATAAGGGAAGATGGTCCAAAACCATTCCCCAGTAATCGTGACAAGCGCACCTACAACACCTTCGAGATGCTCCACTTCGACATCTGCGGACCCATGGAAGAAAAATCTCTGGGTGGCAGCAAGTATCTGCTGCTGATCGTGGATGAAGCCAGCGGATGCATGAAGGGTTTTTGTCTGCATTCCAAGTCAGAGAGCGAAGAGTGTATCAAGAAGTACATCACGATGATACAGACGCAGTTCAACAAGAAGGTCAAATTTGTGCGACACGATGGAGCCCGCGAGTTTGCGACGAACTCGCTTCAAGATTTCTACGAAGTCGAAGGCATCGAGCAACAAACCACGGTGCCATACGCACATCAAGCCAATGGAACTGCTGAACGCGCGATTCGAACTATCGTCACCATCGGTCGTAGCATGCTCCATCATGCCAAGTTGGACAAGTGCTTCTGGGCTGAAGCGGCAATGACGGCCGTCTATGTGAAGAACCGTTTGCCGTCACCCAAGATTCCACACAAGACACCGTTCGAGATTGTCTACAATTCTAAGCCAAGTGTCAAGCACATGCGCGTTTTTGGGTGCCAAGCATACATCTTGACCCCCGAAGGAGAAACGACTCAAGTGGGATCCCAAGGCCCGGGCTGGATTGTTTTTGGGCTACGAAGAAGTGTCCAAGGCGTATCGAGTTTACGACATCGAAGCGGGGCAGGTGATGATAAGTCGCGATGTCAACTTCGATGAGTCGGCCTTTGGAATGTCGATGCTGATTTCCGATGACGATGTTGATGGCCTGGACTTCGAATCGATCGATCTTGATGATGAAGAACCGCGTCCGAGACACTTCAAACAAACAGGAAAGCGCAAGGCCCAACCCAGTCACGACAATGACGACGCAAGCATGCCCCGAGCAGTGCGCCAACGACCCGGATTGGAAGAGTCAAGTGCGCCGGATGACCTCTCTTCACGTCGAGCCAACGAAGATGAAGAAAGGAAGTCGGAGGAACAACATGACACACCGACTTCCTCCGCGTTCTGGCATGCGAGTGCAAACGCCGTCGAAGCAGCGGTCGATTTTTCGGAGCCGTCGACATTTGAAGAAGCAGTATCTGGCCCGGACCAAGTACACTGGCGCAAGGCAATTGATGCGGAGCTCGATTCGATGAAGCTTCGCGGTGTCTTTCGTGCGGCCAAGTTACCCAACGGACAAAGCGCCATTGGCACAAAGTGGGTCTTCAAGATCAAGCGCAAGGCGGATGGGTCGATCGAGAAATACAAGGCACGACTTGTGGCCAAGGGTTTTCGCCAAAAGTATGGCATTGACTACACGGAGACGTTCTCGCCCGTGGTCAAGTATGTGACGCTGCGAATGGTCATCGCCATTACCAAGCACTTTGGATGGCCCCTCGACCAGCTCGATGTGGTGACTGCGTTCCTGTATGGAGTGATGAAGGAGAAGGTGTTCTGCGCTGTTCCGGAAGGCGTCAAGATGGAAGGTGATTTCGACTGTCTCGAGCTGATCAAGGCGATCTACGGTCTCAAGCAAGCCTCGCGTGTTTGGAACGAGACCTTCGACGAGTTCATACGCTCGATTGGTTTTCAAGCGTCGGGATTCGATCCATGTCTCTACATCATGACTTCGGAAGGCCATTGTGTTTTTGTGCTGGTCTACGTGGACGATGTCTTGGTGACTGGAAGCTCGCTCGAGATGATTGCGCGCACCAAGAACGACCTCAAGACACGCTTCGAGATGACGGACAGCGGCAAGTGTGCCTTTGTTCTTGGGATCGAGTTATTGGAAGGTGAAGATGGCAGCGTGACTATGTGTCAGCGCCGTTATGTCGACGATGTCCTCAAGCGCTTTGGAATGGATGAGTGCAAGGCTGTGGCAAGTCCGGTGGACGTCAGCTCTCGACTGGTTCCAAGCAACTCTGCAAGCAAGGTGGATGTCCCATTCCGTGAAGCAGTGGGTGCTTTGATGCATCTGACGACTGCAACGCGACCGGACATCGCCTATGCTGTAAGCTTTGTGTCACGGTTCATGGAGAAACCCCAAGAAGAACACTGGGTTGCAGTCAAGCGCATCTTCCGCTACCTACAAGGCACCAAGATGCATGGAATCTGCTACAAGCCAAGTGCGAAGATCGACTTTCGTGGCTATTCAGATGCAGACTGGGCCGGTGACCTTGCTGATCGCAAATCGACGTCCGGCTACGTCTTCATGCTATTGGGTGCTCCGGTGAGTTGTGGCAGCAAGAAACAGCCAAGTGTGTCACTGTCTACAAGCGAAGCGGAGTACATCGCGCTCAGCCTGGCGATCCAAGAAGGCAAGTGGATCAATCGCTTGCTGTGCGAGATCATGGCGGCTGCAAACGAAGAAGGACCCGAGCTCGTCATCCGTGAAGACAACCAGTCGTGCATCAAGATGACGAAGAATCCGGTCAACCACGGCCGCGCTAAACACATCGACATCAAGTACCATCACATCCGTGATGAAGTCAAGCGCGGCGAAGTGAAGCTTGAATACTGCGAGACGACGTTGATGTTGGCGGACATCATGACCAAGGCACTTCACGGACCGCGTCACAAGAACTTGACGGCGGCGCTTGGCATCCGTGCGTGTTCGGATTGAGGGGGCGTATTGAGGGTTACCGGTACAATCCGAACCTAGCGCGTAGTTCTTACGAGATAGTTTTTACATCGGTAATTACCTCAGAGATGATTAGACGCGTAGGATGATTGGACGCGTGCAAATCAGGTTGATTAGATGCACCATGTGATTGGATGCAGTCTAGGGTAGGCAGAAGTTAAGACCTATAAATCAATCACTTTCGAATCCTCCCTCAAGTGAGCAAGTGTTCTCTGCTTCGTTCTCTCCGGTCTCTCCGCTTCGTTTTCTCTTCGCCTCGCGCTCAAGTTACAACAAATACCACTTGAGTAACCACAGCACAATCACGTAAGTACACCTATGTATCGTCAGCATACATTGACACCTTAACCTCAGTAGTTTGCTCTCTATACGTAATTGGAACGCCATTTATATTGACATGCTCCTAAAGGACGCGCCAGACGCTTTCTAGTGCGAGGATGAAAGCAATGGTTCAAGTTAACATCCTTGTCGAATGCCAGATCTAACAGCTCCCGTGCGGAAGGTAAAGCCGTTCACGATGAACTGGTAGGTCGTGCCCCTATGGAATGAGTGCCACCACCGAGATTAATAGTTTTATTTAATAAGCCAGATGAACACGTTTAGTAAACAACGGATGCTGGAGTGTGTCGTAGGCTTTTGCGAAAAATCAAGCATCAGAACAACTGCACCACGCAACCTTCTATCAGCACTATTAAAAAAATTACCGTTGCAAAAAACCTCAGGAGCCGTCTGAATCGACCGCTTTGGAACGAAAACGACTTGAGCTGATGTATGGTACGAGAAAGAAGATATCGTACGCAAAATGCTTATATCTTGGCGAATAACTTACAGCCACTGTTGAGTGGCGCGATATGGCGATAATTTAGCGGTCGCACTGACGCTGGAATTTTCTTCAAGCACTTTGTGTTGGCGTTTTCAAACGATCTCGAAAAAAGCTACACTTAACCCATCTATTGGACAAGGGATCAGAAGTGATGCGTTTCTATCAGCACATTCGCACATAACGTGCTTATAATTTTATCTGACCTTGCCGCCTTGACGCGTGTTAGCCTCTTTGTTGTAACTTGAGCGCGAGGCGAAGAGAAAACGAAGCGGAGAGACCGGAGAGAACGAAGCAGAGAACACTTGCTCACTTGAGGGAGGATTCGAAAGTGATTGATTTATAGGTCTTAACTTCTGCCTACCCTAGACTGCATCCAATCACATGGTGCATCTAATCAACCTGATTTGCACGCGTCCAATCATCCTACGCGTCTAATCATCTCTGAGGTAATTACCGATGTAAAAACTATCTCGTAAGAACTACGCGCTAGGTTCGGATTGTACCGGTAACCCTCAATACGCCCCCTCAATCCGAACACGCACGGATGCCAAGCGCCGCCGTCAAGTTCTTGTGACGCGGTCCGTGAAGTGCCTTGGTCATGATGTCCGCCAACATCAACGTCGTCTCGCAGTATTCAAGCTTCACTTCGCCGCGCTTGACTTCATCACGGATGTGATGGTACTTGATGTCGATGTGTTTAGCGCGGCCGTGGTTGACCGGATTCTTCGTCATCTTGATGCACGACTGGTTGTCTTCACGGATGACGAGCTCGGGTCCTTCTTCGTTTGCAGCCGCCATGATCTCGCACAGCAAGCGATTGATCCACTTGCCTTCTTGGATCGCCAGGCTGAGCGCGATGTACTCCGCTTCGCTTGTAGACAGTGACACACTTGGCTGTTTCTTGCTGCCCCAACTCACCGGAGCACCCAATAGCATGAAGACGTAGCCGGACGTCGATTTGCGATCAGCAAGGTCACCGGCCCAGTCTGCATCTGAATAGCCACGAAAGTCGATCTTCGCACTTGGCTTGTAGCAGATTCCATGCATCTTGGTGCCTTGTAGGTAGCGGAAGATGCGCTTGACTGCAACCCAGTGTTCTTCTTGGGGTTTCTCCATGAACCGTGACACAAAGCTTACAGCATAGGCGATGTCCGGTCGCGTTGCAGTCGTCAGATGCATCAAAGCACCCACTGCTTCACGGAATGGGACATCCACCTTGCTTGCAGAGTTGCTTGGAACCAGTCGAGAGCTGACGTCCACCGGACTTGCCACAGCCTTGCACTCATCCATTCCAAAGCGCTTGAGGACATCGTCGACATAACGGCGCTGACACATAGTCACGCTGCCATCTTCACCGTCCAATAACTCGATCCCAAGAACAAAGGCACACTTGCCGCTGTCCGTCATCTCGAAGCGTGTCTTGAGGTCGTTCTTGGTGCGCGCAATCATCTCGAGCGAGCTTCCAGTCACCAAGACATCGTCCACGTAGACCAGCACAAAAACACAATGGCCTTCCGAAGTCATGATGTAGAGACATGGATCGAATCCCGACGCTTGAAAACCAATCGAGCGTATGAACTCGTCGAAGGTCTCGTTCCAAACACGCGAGGCTTGCTTGAGACCGTAGATCGCCTTGATCAGCTCGAGACAGTCGAAATCACCTTCCATCTTGACGCCTTCCGGAACAGCGCAGAACACCTTCTCCTTCATCACTCCATACAGGAACGCAGTCACCACATCGAGCTGGTCGAGGGGCCATCCAAAGTGCTTGGTAATGGCGATGACCATTCGCAGCGTCACATACTTGACCACGGGCGAGAACGTCTCCGTGTAGTCGATGCCATACTTTTGGCGAAAACCCTTGGCCACAAGTCGTGCCTTGTATTTCTCGATCGACCCATCCGCCTTGCGCTTGATCTTGAAGACCCACTTTGTGCCAATGGCGCTTTGTCCGTTGGGTAACTTGGCCGCACGAAAGACACCGCGAAGCTTCATCGAATCGAGCTCCGCATCAATTGCCTTGCGCCAGTGTACTTGGTCCGGGCCAGACACTGCTTCTTCAAATGTCGACGGCTCCGAAAAATCGACCGCTGCTTCGACGGCGTTTGCACTCGCATGCCAAAACGCGGAGGAAGTCGGTGTGTCATGTTGTTCCTCCGACTTCCTTTCTTCATCTTCGTTGGCTCGACGTGAAGAGAGGTCATCCGGCGCACTTGACTCTTCCAATCCGGGTCGTTGGCGCACTGCTCGGGGCATGCTTGCGTCGTCATTGTCGTGACTGGGTTGGGCCTTGCGCTTTCCTGTTTGTTTGAAGTGTCTCGGACGCGGTTCTTCATCATCAAGATCGATCGATTCGAAGTCCAGGCCATCAACATCGTCATCGGAAATCAGCATCGACATTCCAAAGGCCGACTCATCGAAGTTGACATCGCGACTTATCATCACCTGCCCCGCTTCGATGTCGTAAACTCGATACGCCTTGGACACTTCTTCGTAGCCCAAAAACAATCCAGCCCGGGCCTTGGGATCCCACTTGAGTCGTTTCTCCTTCGGGGTCAAGATGTATGCTTGGCACCCAAAAACGCGCATGTGCTTGACACTTGGCTTAGAATTGTAGACAATCTCGAACGGTGTCTTGTGTGGAATCTTGGGTGACGGCAAACGGTTCTTCACATAGACGGCCGTCATTGCCGCTTCAGCCCAGAAGCACTTGTCCAACTTGGCATGATGGAGCATGCTACGACCGATGGTGACGATAGTTCGAATCGCGCGTTCAGCAGTTCCATTGGCTTGATGTGCGTATGGCACCGTGGTTTGTTGCTCGATGCCTTCGACTTCGTAGAAATCTTGAAGCGAGTTCGTCGCAAACTCGCGGGCTCCATCGTGTCGCACAAATTTGACCTTCTTGTTGAACTGCGTCTGTATCATCGTGATGTACTTCTTGATGCACTCTTCGCTCTCTGACTTGGAATGCAGACAAAAACCCTTCATGCATCCGCTGGCTTCATCCACGATCAGCAGCAGATACTTGCTGCCACCCAGAGATTTTTCTTCCATGGGTCCGCAGATGTCGAAGTGGAGCATCTCGAAGGTGTTGTAGGTGCGCTTGTCACGGTTGCTCGGGAATGGTTTTGGACCATCTTCCCTTCTTGGCATCCTCGACACACACTTGATCCATTCGGCTTGGAAGGGATGTGAGCGTCCTTGATCATGTGGCTTGTCACCATCCTGCGAAGCACGTCGACTGGAGCATGGCCCATTCGCGCATGTAGATCAACAGCGTTGCTGAGTGATGTCGCATTGGCCGATCGCTGCGTCGTGCGAAGCCAGTAGAGTCCGTCTACAAGATCCGCAGCTGCCACCACTTGATTGGAATCCTTGCGAGCGACGTACATCGTATCCCCGTCAAACACCACTTGGAAGTTGCCGTGCTTGTTAATCTGCGGCACCGAGAGCAGATTTTTGCTCATGCTGGGGCACATAGAGCGCGTTCTTGATCTCGATCTCGCGCTCTTCCCCGTTTGGCAGAATCACCTTTCCACGATGGTCCCCACACCTTTGATGGCCGCCTTGTTGCCATCAGCCACCAGGATCTCGCCATCATTGCCTTCGACCAAGCTTGCAAACTTGAACTTGTCGTGGCAGATGTGATGTGTTGCCCCGCTGTCAACGGCCCACATTCCTGGTCCATTCTTGTTCGTCGAAACTCCGCATTCGAACGAAACTGCAAACGCCACTCGATCGTAGCTGTTGCCTTCATCATAATGTCGCCACTGGACATTGTTTGCCCCGCGTCCACGACCATTGCCGCCGCGTTGGGCTCCTCGACTTTCATCCTTTTGCTTCGTCCAGCAACGCTCTGCCGTGTGCCCCACCTTGCCGCAGTATGTGCATTGGTAGGGCTTGCGCTCGGTACTGAATGCCTTTGTCGCATCTTCAGTCTTCACCGTTGTCGTTGCCGTTGTCATCTTCTCGCCTTGTCGCTTGATGTGCTCGTTAGTCAGCACCTTGACCACATCTTGCGTGCGCAGCTCTGCATTGCTCATCTCCAAGTTCAGAACCACGTTCTCGAAACTCTTCGGGAGACTGAGCAGCAAGCAGATCGCAATGTCTTCGTCTTCCATCTTGGCACCGATGCTGCTGAGCTTGGCGCCGATGT